ACACCTTCTGGAAAATAGAAACTCTTGGGAGGTTTATGACATCAATGAATTGTCTATAGTGCCATGCAAGATTGGCAGATAGGAGATGTAGGAGCAGGTGAACAGCAGTAAGCCAAGTGAGATAATGCCCTCCTTCAAGAAATTCCACTTGGATAGGAGTCCTGAGTGGATCAAAAAAACTGTGGTACATTTACATGATGGGGTACTACTGCACAGCAGAAAGAAAGATAGAACTCCTACATTTTATGACAGAATGGATGGAATTAGTGAGTATTTTGCTAAGTGAAATAAGTCAGGGAGTGAAAGACAAAGGCTATATGATTTTACCTATAAGTGGACTCTAATCAACAAAACAAACAAGTGAGCAAAATATAACCAGAGAAATTGAAATAAAAAAACAACTGACAGTGACCAGAGGAGATGGAAGAGGAGGATAATGCAGAAAAGAAGGGAAAGGGTCATCAAGGGATGTGTATGAAGGACCTATGGACAAGGGGCGATTGAATGTAGGGGGAGAATTGAATGTAGGGGATGGGCAGGGTAAGGGAGAGCAATGGGGGAGGGGATGTGGACAACGATAATTGAATGAAAATTAAAAATTAAACAGTATAGAATAATAAACATCTGCTTTAGGGTCCATATGATAAAATCCAAGGACCATCCTCTCCCTCACCCCCTGCCCCCAAAATAAATAAATAAATAATTGGCTTCATGACCAACCTATCTTGCTTAACCTGGCTAATTTTCAAACATTATGCATAATTTGGAGGCTCATTGTTCTTTAGTGACACTCTTTTGTATATAAAGTGTTTACAAAGTCCAACTGAAAGAGACATGTTGAGGCTAGGAAGAACATGGGTCCTATGTCCACCAACACAGGCTTGGAATCTCAGCTCTATTATCACCAACTTTCCTGAGCTATTAGACCAAGGATTGCATTTCTTACCTACCCAATTTCCTTCTTATGGAATGCAAATTAGCGTCATCTCCCAGGTCAGATTATTCAGGGATTAGGGGGAATTAATATAAAATGTCTGTCACACAGGCGATCAACAAGTGGTCGACATTAATAGTCACCTTTGCTGTATGATAACCCATTTAACCATGTACAGGAAGAAGATGTTTTCAATCTCTAAATGTCAGAGTAATGGAAACAAGCCTGCTTTTGGGAATCATCTGCTTATTCAGACCATGGTCGCTGATAAGAAACTTCTGAGTTGAGAAACAAAATGAGTTTATTTTAGCCATAAAAATATGTGAATCTTTTGTTGTAACTAACTGCCTCAATTTGATTCTTCCTAAGAAACAACACAGAAATAATCTGGTGGTTGACAGTCTTTGAGTAAACTAAGTGTATGCTCAAATCTACACACACACACACACATACACACCAGTCACCATGGCCAGTGATCAATATCAGGATTAGATCCCACAAATACCAACATTAAGACTATTGATTCTTCCTGTGTAAACATGAACCTGGAGTACCAAAGGGCTAGATCCTCTCTTCAAAGTTCCTTGGGGAAACTATAGAATCAGTTGTCTAAGAGATGCAGATTCAATAATAAGAATAAAAGGACAGGAGGAATACTGAATTTAGGTTGTCAAATGGAGAGATCAGACTAATAGAGGGTGGAATGGAGTGAAATCAGATCTGGTACAAGGTAAGATCCTGAATGATCTTCTCTAACTACCTGATAGCTTTATAAACTTACTCAACTACCAGCGACAGTTTAGAAAATTAGGGAGCCAGAGGCTGTCATGGACATTCTTGTTACTTTATTTGCATGCTTCATTGGAATCTCCATATAATACTATTGTGCATTTGTGTGTCTGAGAGAGAGAGAGAGAGAGAAGCTGTGTGTGAGTGTATATATAAGTTAAGTGTACATTAGTGTTTGAGTCTGCATTTGTGTGTCTGGATATATTTTGGAGAAAACAGCATTTCTTTTTCATGAGTTTACTTTGTGATGAAGGCCTCAAGAAGTGTCAGGAACACAGATCTCAGAAGAGATCCCAGCATTACAATTCTTACCATAAATGATGTTGCTAGAAGATCTAGCAAGGTGTTTAGGTTGGCTGCATTCATTGTTTAGGGAGAGAGGTTGTCAGATAAGGAACATGGTAAATACACCAGCCTCTCCCACAGTGATGGAGTCATACTGCTGCCTTGTTCCCACCTTGGCACAGAAAGAATCATGAATAAAGCTCCCACTGTGTGTGCTTTGTCCTCTGGAATTCCAGCACTGCTCATCAGTTCTGGCTTGCCTCATTCTTTCCTTAGGGTCAGTTTTACTTTCTGCATCCAAAAAAGTCCAAGTAGACACCTCTGCACATATCATCATGCTAATAATGGCTCATTGGCTACAATATTGAGGCCATTATTCCCCTCAAGTTTATGAGGTTCAAATTGCCACTTTATCATCCCTCACTTCTGTTTTAATCAATTACTATCCTTCATACCAGCTGCTCTTAAAACTCAAGGAAGTCTTACCTAAAAATGAAGCTTTGTACCTCTGCTTCCTGAGGGCATTCAGAGATGAAAGAATGAGGATACTGAGGACATGCCTGAGAGAGATTAGAGCAAGTTAGGGAAAAGAAAAGGCCCTCTGAAAATTTTTTTAGATGTGATGAGTGAAACTAATTCATGAGCAAAGAATCCTGACATGAAGTTGGAACCAGTGCAATGTGTGTGTACAGTCTGGCTTATCTTGGTGACAGGGTGTTGGCCTGGGAGCCCAGGACTTATCTTCTGCTCTAGCAGCTCTGGCTGGACTACATAAAATTAATAGACCTTCACGTTTCCATTTGCAGCCTGATAATGGTAAAATGAATGGAGCCCATCAGGCAGGATTTAGGTCAGTGCAAAACTGAACATCCAAGCAGATGATCCACAAAAGCCACAAAAAGACATACCACGAATTTAAGAGGCTGGAAGAATTTATCATGGCTCTTGTCTGAAAACTTAGAGCCATAAGAAGACAAACCACAAATTCTCAATTTTTACTCATGTTGGCAACCTTCTCTCTGCCTCCATTGCACTGCCTGTGCTGACAGAGTTAGACTCTGGGTCTTCCAACTCTGATCAGGTGGGGAACTTTGAGCAAGTTGCTTATCTCTCCAAACTTTTGTTTTCTCTTTTAGAATGAGAAATGAGAATTAAGTTATTTATTCCATAAAATTGATGTGATTATTATGTCCTGTCTCCTGAGACTTGTAATAGCTAGGGCTCAATCGATGGCTGTTGATAGTGCTTTTATCCACAGAACTGGATGGAAGTTGTAGGCATCTTATGATGTGATAGCTCAGCATCATCATGCCTGATAATCAGTTGGAATTTTGTGGTGTTCATGATGAGAGATGATCATTTTTAAAACTAAATTGACATGTTATTAAATGGGATGAAATAAAGCAATTGACAATATGGACATGCTATTAGTTTCTTTTCAGACTTAAAAACTGATTTGGTTCTGTTTGATTCTGGGAAAGCCCTAAGTTTTGCCTTCCAAAAAAGTTGGGCAGCCCTCTGAATGGTTTATTAATATTTATAAAATCTCATTTTCTTCAGTGCATTTGTCAAAAGCTTTTCTGATGTGTGTCTTATGTAGGACTTGATTACTGTAATCCTGTCAGCCTCTCATGCAGAAGGCATAATTTTGCTGAAACTTTCTCTTGACAGGTCTTGGGATGATCACATTTGACTGATGAGTTGATGCTCTTCCTTTAACTCCTACACTATGAACTTTATATCATGTTTTACTTCCCTGTGTATTAATGCTCAGATCTTTGTGTACAGAGGAAATGAAGCTATAAAACTCAGTCCTCTCAGCCAATTATGTTTTGTCTAAAAACTGACACTTTTTCTTTTGTGTGCTAACCCAGGAATGAACAGACAGCATCTTGTTTGACTTTCAAAAAACACATCCCATAGAATAGAAATTAGATATGCTTTTAGCTGGCTTGAGCATAATATGGAATTATTACATGGAAAAGATAAATTTTTTAACATACTGTGAAGGCCTTAAAATCATGTACTACTATCATTATCATTAGGTAACAGACATTATCTCTCTCCCCCTTTTTATGGTGAAACTCTATTTTAAGATTCATAATTTTTAAACATCACCTGCTCTGCACAGCATATTCACTCTGCAGGTCTGACAGACACTCAATCACCTTCACAAATATGTATTTGAAACATTTTGAATATTTTTTCTAACAGGATGTGAAAACTGGATTTTAAACAGAGTAGATGCTGCTTAGAAGATTATTTGCAAAGAAATGGCTGAAGAATATATGTAGTGTAAACATTTAAAGACAAAATTCAAATCCTCATCTTTGGAGTCATGGTAATTAATTTTCATTCCAAATGTAACTCCTCTTATAAGCAAGAAATCCAGTAACTATTCTCCTTTGACCAACAATCTCCTGAGCTCTTGGCAGAATTAATAAAGCTGTCAGGATTTCTTTGGAATGTTGCACATCTCTCTGTATGTGATTTAATTGTGAAAAGTAAATATGCACATGGCACATCAGGAAGACTAAATATATCAGTCTTTTAGGCTTTGGCACCTGTTTCTGTTCTTGTTTATCAGCTTTTCTAAAATTAAGGGAGAGCATCTTAATATAAAAATGAATAAAAGTTATGTAATTTTCCTGAAGAATGACTTGCATAGTTTATATTCTCTGACAAGGGAGATTATATATTTTTCTAATATATGGTTTTGGAAATATATAATGTTCTGTGTATGAGATTATATGCACAGCTTGGGAGAATTTGGGGGAATGTTCTTGGAAGGCAAATTATTTTAGAAGAAAAAATATAAAACCCAGAAGCAGAAGGAAACATAATGCAACTCAGTTTTCCTCAGTTTAAAATATGCAGTTCTAACTGGCAATTCAGGTAAAGCCTCTCTAGAGGAGATTCTGGAATATGGGATATAGGGAGACTGAGTGAGAGAGCTTCTGGTTATGTCAAAATCAAGCAGTCTTTTTTTTTTTCTTGTCTGAAGGTGACTGGCAGTGATGGCTAAGTTGAATCATGCTGCTAATTTATCTCCACAGCTTTGTTTAGCACATCAGAAATCTTTTCTCTTGATGGAAAGAAAAAGGACAATGAAATGTGTACCAAGTTCAATTTTTCAAAGCAATGCTGTCACACAAATTAATCTGATTGAGGAGGATGGCCTGTCATTTACCAGGTGAACTTGGGGTCAAATGCCCACCTACCCCAGCTGAGTACTCCATCTTTGGATGAATAGATATTGGCCAACACATGAATAAGTCAGAACTCTGATTGCAAGGACTCTTTCTGCTTTGAAAGAGGCAAGGAGGACTATCTTTTATAAAGAGTAACAAGACATTTATGAGTGGGTTTAATTTAACCAAGTATTGAAGTTTTGTTTAGTTTTTTTTGTTTTGTTTTATTTTTTCTTCAGTCTGAGGTAAAAAGATTAATACTACTGACTGATGAGTATATGTTCTCTGTTGTCACAAATACTATAAAATTAACTTCAAGCAAAAGACAGGTATTATCATCCCATTTTGTAAATGAAAGAATTGTGGTTCATAAATATTAATAAATTTATTTCAGGTTGTAAATGAGGCAGTATTTGCTCTAGTAATGGTGGGGCTTAGGGCAATATTATAAATTGATATCTTATTGCACTACATTTTTGCATATGTAAAAGCTATAAATTACATCAACTATTAAATACATTGTGTTTTCTCCACCTTTGTTAACAAATATGCTTTCATAATGAAGTAGAAGTCTAGGTTCAAACTGGAACATGCACTACCCACAACATTCTTCCCTTCTAATACCTAGACCCATTTGGCACATCACGAGGAGCAGAGTTCACATTTCCAAACTCTGTCCATCTGCTGATGTTAGACCATGCTTTAGCCTCAAGATTGCCCACTCTAATCTTGTGGTCTGGCTCATCTTCTCTGAAAAGGATGAGCCTTGGAGAGGTCTGCGCAAGCCCAGAAAGTGGATTTAGGGTCATTTGGTCATAAAGTTTCAAGATCAGGGTACCTGAAATAATCATGGTCTAAACTGGAATGGCAGGGAAGGAGCATAGGCTCCAAGGCAGCTCATCAGGAGCCAGACCCTATGAAGACCTTATCTGCAGGAAGAAACTCAAGAAAATGAGGGCTGAAAAGAAGCCCTTCCCACTCTGGTAGAAGGGAGATGCTACAACATGGACATAGTGATTGAAAGATTCAATGAATAGATACAAACTAACACTATGTGACTCAATAGCTGATACTTTATTTTATCTGGCATATGTTGGTGCTTTCTAGTGCTTTAAAATAAACACAAATAAACAAATAAATAAAATGTGAATCAGGCTAACTTACTATTTAGGATTCTTTTTCACATGAACAAAATAAAAAATTTTAAGAGTCAAGCCTCAATGCAGAACCCTAAGTTCCCTGTGTGCCTTTGAGCCATGGGACAAAAATCAGGACCTCCATGACACTGAGCTAGGTGTCTTTCTTTGTATTCTTGAGTAGGGCTTTGGAGCACTCAGGAACACTTATCTGCTGCTAGTAACTCTAATAAAATATTTGGGCTCTGCAGAGTCACCAGTTGCACTCCCAGTGAGCCACAAGGGCTCTGAGCTTTTGTGTATCTATTCCCAAGGGGAAAAAGAAGCCATGGGAAGCTCAGACCCACAGTCCAGATGTGGAAACTGATAAAAAAGAGGAAGGCCTCTATAGACTGGCTCAAAAAGTAAATTCAAGTTAAACAAAAAGGAGACTGGGATATAAAAAGATAAGGCAGTTGCACAATTGGTAACTGGTTGTAGGGTATCTATTCAAGTCACAACCTTATTCTACAGCATACACTAGAACAAACAAAAAATGTGTGTGTGTGTGTGTGTGTGTGTGTGTGTGTGTGTGTGAAGGGCCCTATTATTAAAATAAGGTAAACCATCCAGTCAGATTGAAAGAAAAATAGAGTAAAAACCTGAGTCATTTTGGAAAATGAAAGCATTGCTTGCTCAAATAGCCCACTTCCTCAAACCAAGTCTAGAGGTATGAATGAGGATATAGTTGTGCTGGGGCAGAGAAAGCACAATAGTCCTTTCATTAAAACACAAATGTAAATAAGAGTCTCTAAATAATTTTTAAAAATCAGATGTTAGATAACTGATTAGGGAGCATGAAGATGTGTTTATGACTTGATGTAGCATTACAGGTCATAAGCACACTTCTTTTTGTAAGGCCATGGTGAGGATGAAATGAAAAAGGTAAAAACTCCCGGGTCAGGAACTGGCCAATGTGAGGATATGGGACACTCAGTCCAGTCCATCTATTCTCATAGACAGTCTAGGGTCACATCTGCTCAACAAGCACAGTATTAATTCTGCAAGTCTTAAAGAAGGGAGAAGAGAATAACTCTTGAGTATGACTTGGTAATTTTCAAGTTTGTAAATTTTAAATTTGTAAAATGATATTGTCTTCTAAGACCAAGTCAAAATGTCTTTACTTCAAAATTGCCTAACCCCCCCCCCAAAAAAAAAACTATGTCAAATATGCACACTCTAAAAGTTATGTAAGTAGCCGTATCAAGATGACTAAAGCAAAACATTAAACTTTCTTTTCTTCTATCTCAATTCTCCCACAATTAGTATAGGTATACTTAACACACTATATTCTCCCAGTTTTTGGTTCCACAATTATGGTCATCAATCCCATGAAACAGAGTTTGCTGATTGCTAAATAATGGCAAGGAATGGGTTATTTCCCATTCCTATTCCTTGGGAATGGGAAATAGAGCTGTTGATTCTCTTAGCCCTTGGAGCTTCTGGGAAGTGCGTGGATAGATACTCTGTCCTAATGATGGAGCAACCTCCTTCAGCACTGTACCAGCATAATCACTGAATATTGTGATTTGGAAAATGTGGGAATATACTGCCAGCTGAGTCTAAGAAAGAGAACAAAATGCAAATGTGATGACTAAATCAGAGAAAATTAATGGAGGAGGTAAGTTCTATATGTATATAGTTGGAAAGAGCTCTGAATTTGAAATTAAAGAGGGAATAGGATAACTTCTGCAAGAAGGGGATGGAAGAGACAAAATTAGGAGGGCACAATTAGAAGGCAATAAGGAAAGAGTAGGGTGACTGACATTCTGAAAGGGCATGTTCAGGCCATAAGACAACTGAGGCCAGCTTTGTGACCCAGAAATTCTTGGGGTGGGGTGGGGTACATGGCCAGAGGAAGAAGACATCTCAGAGCAAAGATGAGATATGATGAAGGTTGGGTTTGGGAAAATGCACCTTTTAGGTACAGGCATGGAGGAATGATGGGGAGAGAAGTTAACAGAGTCCATAACATTTGAGAAAGATCTCTGAACCTATAATTTTTCAGTTTTTATATGAAAGCTGTTTCTAAAAAAAATACAGCTTTAGTGTTTTCTTACTTTAAAAATTTGCTTTATAAATTTAAAAAGTTTTCAGCTTGAAAAATTTATTTTCATTTTGTTTTTAGATTTTAATTGTGTGCCTGTGACATAAACTCCACATTCAAGACTTTGCTATAGATATCTGTCATCAAAACTTAAGTGGAGAATTAGCTTATGTCTAAGATATTTTTAGTTTTCCCAACTTTTGATCTGGACTTTCAGTTTTAATTTATTTTCTTTGGTTTAGATAGCATGAATTGATTTGGCTTAGAGGTAGAAACTTTCTTTAGCAACAAGACTGTACTTTTAAATGCATTATGAAAATGGATTGCAATAATCTTTAATAGGAACTAGCTGTAGCATATACACCAGACGTGTGTACAGGATGTGCTTTCAGAAAGATAATCTGAAGCCTGAAAACTTTTCACAAACCATCTGCTCTGCACCTCACCTCTGGAAAGGTAGTGAAAAACAAAGGGGAGACTTGCTAAACCATAAAATTTTAGAGTAAAATAATATAACTCTGGCTTTATCATTGCACAGATGAAGAAGAAGGGGTGGATGGATTAAGTGCTAATACAACTTCTTTGGCATTTATTATGTGTGTTAATGATTAAATTGCTTAGGTTCTTTGAGCCTCTTTCCTCATCTGTAAAATTTAACAATAGTATCTACCTTGCAGGAGTGTTAGAATGATTAAATGGTATAGCATATGTAAAATACCAGTTATGAAGTAAATGTTCAATAAATCATACCCATGTGGTACTATTTTATTAATATTATTTTTATAAAAACAAATCTGGAACATGAAAACTAAGACATGTTTTGTTTGGAAAAGTAAAGTATCCAATGCATGGATCTGCTAAAGACTATCTCTAAGCATATGATAAGTAAATGGGTAATCCTGTAGGTCATTTCTTCATGAATGTTAGTTCTTGAGCTTGTTCTTCAAAGCATGTGGTACAACATAGGAAAAGTAGTGATAGCCTTACTTCTGATAGATACTTCTGGCTGTGTGGCCTTAACTAGGTCACTTAAATTTTTTAGCCAAGAGACCTATGACTATAAATATAATTCAGTAGGCAACATATCCAATATAATGCCACTCAAATTAAGTGTTATATGAACATTGGTTCCCTACTCTCAGCACCTCACCCCTAACATTAACATGCTACCAGACTTTCCTGCCTTCCAGTTTACTTTTGGTTCAGAAAATATAGTGTGAGCAATGTAGCAGATGACAATACATCTGTGAACTAAAATTAAAATTAATTATGACATTTGTGTACTCTTATAACTCAAAGAGGAAGATGGAGTTCCAGATTTGTCCATGTGTAATATACTCTCAGTTTTTTCATTTAATCTGTCAGTGTTTGGGCCTGACACTTAAGGAGATTTCCTCAACCCTGACCACTAAAATTGATGACTAGGCCAACCCAGATTTCTGATTTCCACACACACAGCAGATATAAAATGTACTTGCATTTTGGATGCCATGTTTACCTGGCAAAGAACAAAAGGAGTGGCCCCTACCTCATCTCCTATCTGCCAGGTGGTGAACCTTGTCTCCCCTTCATGTGATGGAGTTTGGTGCTGGGGGGGTTCTCACCAAAGAACCCCACAGGGAGAAAAGTGGGTACCACTAGGAAAACCTCATTTACAATAACACCATGCACCCTCTGTAATTTACTTCTTACCTTCATATTAACTCT